GAAAATCTCTTTTATTATGATACATGTGGAATATCAAATATTACTTATGGCATATTTGTGACTTGCTATGTAAGACATGTGATATTGAGATTTGTTTGATATGTGAAACATGCAATATTGAGATTGGCCAGAAAAGTACCCATAATTATATACTTTTTCTAGTTCACAGAGAGGCCTTGGCCGTGTTCTATCCTACACAGAAGGTCTTGACCTGACATTGATCTTGATCATGTATATATAGTTCACAGAGAGGCCTTGGCCGTGTTCTAAAATTGATTATGAGAGGTCTTTGAGACCAACTTTCGTTCACGGAGGGGGCCAAAAGCCCGTGGCGAAAGTTCTTAACTCGAGATGCGGATTACATATTTTAATCAGATGATATATTTTTGGTGGATCACATGTGATGAGATAAGATTATAGCATGGTTATCGGCTGATGTTATATCATGATTTTAAGATGATATTTTTATGATCTTATGTGAATATTTCACTTTTTGACTATAATTACATGATAATAGCTTGTGAATTATCAAATGATATGAAATTGATTTTCAATAAAAATGTATAAATGGAAAAGGTACATTTATTTTGAATTTCTCCACTCACTGAACTATCAACTCATATATTTTTCCACGTTTTCCTTATCAGATAGCAGCTGAGAATTTGGGCATCTTTTGGAGTTGAGCCTTGATTTTGGAGTCAGAGCCACATGACAGAGTTTGTTAGTATGACTCACTTCATAGAACATGTAGTCAGTGTTTTGGGACGCATGTTCATGTCTAGATGTGATTTTACATCATCTTGTAAAAAGTTATGGGGCTCACTATGTATTATGTATACATATGTATATTTTATTGTATTTCTTGGTAAAAGTGGAGAATTTGGCTTATCATTATTGTACCCTGCTATAGTTTGGGATTTGTATGAAATTGATCACAAGTTGGTTAGCCCTGTTTACAGGGGAGATAATGCCGAAATTTTATTTGAAAAATGATGTATAAAAAGTGATATATTGTATTTGTAGTAGCCTTGATGGTGGGTTTGACTTTTAGTTGGTATCTATCATCGGCGCATGCCACGTCCGGATCTAGTGATATTACACGGGGCGGGGTGTGTCAAATGATGAACAAGTGAGTATTACTTACAAATCTCACGAAAATGTAACAAATTATACACATTCACAAACATTGGCTAATAGAGGAACAAGCATCTTGAGACTTGCATGACTATATCGAGGACAGTAACCACGTTCATAACCATCCTCGTCTATTTTTATCTCGATCATGTGGTGTCTATTTTATCTATGATTGTGATTACCTGGTCTCTCATTGGAGCAATCACAAGACCTTTCTCGTCCTTTGTCCTTGTCCCCACTCTTATAACTAGTCGCTATCACGTGCATTGCACGAATTTTGTATTTATCGTATTTTTATTAGTGTATGAATTTTAGTTTTTTTAAAGTTTTTGAAGCAATATCTAAAAATATTTCCATGATATAAGAAATAATTATAAATTATTTTTACAATTGTATAGCAGTATGTTATCTGGAAAAAATATGCTTGTATATTTCATCCTTGAATAATAAATATACAAACTATTTTGCTTGTATTCTTTGATAGTGTTGATATGATTGAATTGAATGTAAAGATTATATTTTTAAATTTTGTGCAATTCAATATTGTAAAATTGAAAAAAAAAACTCTCCACACAGTGCGGAGAGAGTTGAAACAAGTGCGGAGTAAAAATAAAAAATAAAAAAAAGTGCGGAGAGAAATTTTTTTTTACATAATGCGGAGAGAGTTGAACCTTGTGTGGAGTAAAAATAAAAAATAAAAAAAGGTGCGGAGAGAAAAAAAATCTCCGCACAGTACGAAGAGAGTTGAACCATGTGCGAAGTAAAAAAAACCTCTCCGCACAGTGCAGAGAGAGCAAAAAAAAAACTCTCCGCACAGTACAGAGAGCAAAAAAAAACTCTCCGCACTGTGAGAAGAGAGTTAATCTCTTTGCAAAGTGCGAAAAGTTGGTCCACATCATGGCAAAACTCTCTGTACAGTATGTAAAGAGTTGAACCATATGCAGAGTAAAAAAAAAGTGCGAAGAGAAAAAAACCTCTCCGCACAGTGCGGAGAGATGACAAACCAGCTCTTCGCACAGTACAAAGAGAAAAAATCTCTCCGCAGAATGTGGGGAGTTGTTTTCAAATTCCTTAATTACAAGTCAAATTTCAAGATTGTAAATTTTTCGTATATACAATGAAATAGAGTTGGAAAATATGGTTCAAAATCAATTATATCTTCTTTAAATTCCAATCACAGCTCAATTTCTAAGCATGCAAATCATATTTACGGTATTGGAAATGAGTTTTCTCGTGATTCATACAATGAAACAATATGTGAGTTGTGCAACGAAGGGGATATTGATAGTACCATGACATTACTTTCACAAATGGAGGCTTTAGGGTACCACCCAAATTCAATATTTTACACTTGCTTGATAATAGCCCTTAGACATTAGAAGCGGATACAATTTTTAATAAAATTATACTTTCGGGTTGTCGGCCAAGAATTAAAGTGTTCAATGCATTACTTAAAAGTAGTTTGGGAAATGACCTCTTGGAATTTGTAATTAAAATCTCGAGAGTTTTTGTTTTTCTCTTCACACTGTACAGAGAGATAGTTTACCATTTCTCCGCGCTTTGCGGAGTCTTTTTTTTTTTTTCCTAACGTGCGGAGATTTTTTTTTTGTCTCATGGAATTTATATATACTAAAATTATTTTTTTATGTTGTTGACATGATGCGTGTGTAGAATAATATTTGTCAATCATCATAAACAAAATTCTTCACAAAATACAAAAAATAAAAATGCATAATAAATCTTCTTATTACGCTAATAAAATTACAATAAATTTTTTTACAAATAACATAAAAAAATTATTTTTATCTTAAACAAAAAAAAAATATTTAAAAATTAGTAATTTCATAACCACTTTTTTTTTTTTAAATTCTCGAAAATACAATTATAAAAATGGAAACAATATTGAATTACAACATTTAATACTTAAGAAATTCAATATTAAATAAATTTTATACATTTGTAATAAATTATAAATCCATATATACAGCTTACCGTATTTGCAGGCAGCTTACCGTATATGATACCTACCATATTTGCAGCTTATCGTATTTACACCTTATCGTATATGTTGCCTATCGTATTTGCAAACAATGTACCATATTTTCATTTTACCGTATTTACACCTTATCGTATATGCTGCCTACCGTATTTACAACTTACCGTATATGCTGCCTATCGTATTTGCAGTTTAGTGTATTTTTATATACCGATTTTTGCATTTACAAATATCGAGAATGCAGAATACCGTACATTCACTTACCAAATCGAATTTAAAAAAAAAAATTCAGATTTTTATTTTTTTCAATATAAGCATAAAATAAAAATATTAAATATATATGAAGCACAAAATATAAATGCATATGAATATGATGCTCAATCTTCAATTTTCCAATATTGAATTACACAAAATTTAGAAATAAAATCTTCACATTCAATTCAATCATATCAACATTATCAAAGAATACAAACAAAATAATTTGTATAATCTCGTATATTTCCGATTCAAGTATGAAACATACAAATACATTTTTTCTAGATGACACAATATTGCTATGCAATTGTAAAAATAATTTACAATTATTTTCTTATATCATGGGAATATTTTTAGATATTGTTTCAAAAACTTTCAAAAAAAACTAAAATTCATACACTAATAAAAATACGATAAATGCAAAATTCGTACAACGTACGTGACAGTCACTGTACGGAGAGATTTTTTTTAAACTTTGCACTGTACGAAGAATTTGCCTACTCTTCGCACTGTGCGAAGGTTTTTTACTTACTTCGCACTGTACAGAGAGTCCGTACAAAACGCAATCTCCGCACTGTGCGGAGAGTTTTTTTTTTTACTTCACATTATACAGAGAGTTTGCCAACTCTTCGTACTATGCGGAGAGTTTTTCCTTCATTTCTTACTTCGCACTTGGTTTGTTATCACTCCGCACTGTGGGGAGAGTTTTTTTTTTTTTTTTTTTTAAAGATCATATGCGAAGATTTTTTTCTGTTGCTCATAGCAGTTTATATTTACTAAAATTATTATTCTTAAATGCTAGTGGGATGATGTATGGAAGAACATTTGTTCGACATAATTATTTTTTTAATGTTAGTGGGATGATGTGTGAAAGAATATTTATTTGACATAAACAAAATGGAAAATAAAAAATGACATCATGTATAGTAAAATTGGATTCATTTACTATTGCATGAATAGTCCTTCCCTTTTTTATTATTAGATTAGAAGTTAGATAGGAGTTCTCCCCATACCAATGGCATGCAGTTACCCAACATAAATTTGTGTTTTAATTACCCAACTTAGAATTTTGCTATAGTTAAGGCATCTCTTCAACATTTGTTTACATGCCAATGAAGATTCTGACGATGCTAATGAAATCTCATTCAACATTTTGTATATTCATGTCTAATTATGTCATAGCTTCATGCTTCAGATTAGGTTTATCATAAATGAACTAAATTATTAACACCGACCCAGTAAAAAAACGGATAGTATGTATAGTATCGACCAAGAACCATGTTAAAAATTGATTTTACTTCCTCTATTTTCTTAAAATAAATCTCTAATTTGCGTGACAGTTTTGTTTAACGTTCATGTCAAAGTTCCATGATAAAGACACAAGTTTTTGTCATTTGTTCTCTAAGTGATTGGGGTGTTATCCGTAGGAATGATATCAAGAGAGAAAGTTGCTCATAAATAAAATAAAAATGTCTTTAAAGATATTTTGAATTCAATTGGATCAATTATTCTCAAATTACTTTTCCCACCAAAAAAAAAGAAAAAAAAAAAAAAAAAAAAAAAAAAAAGCACTTCCACACGTAGAATAAACAGATTTTCACAATATTTTCTAATATGCACCAGCTAAATTATAACAAAATTGTTAATCCATTCCTTCATATCACACTAATGTAACAAAATGATATGAATTATAGTTTTTGAAGTTCACATAGCATCTTAAGCTATATTACCCCAAAAGTTTAAACAATAAAACAAGGGCAAATCCAACTTCATGTATATGCCTGTATATGCATATTCACCATGAAACCAAGAATAAATGAAGATTAGCCGTAGAACGACATCGATTTGTATCTAGTTTTTATTTGTATATCGTAGTGCCGAGTACGATCTAATATTGAATTTCGAACTTGCACTTAAAGCTGGTAGTGTTGTGTATTGCTCTATGGTTTTGGCTTGTGCAGAACTGAATCGTCGAGTTCTCTAGAGTCGCTGCTTGATGAGGATGGATTGAGCCCGTACTCGCTTGTTGCTCCATATTCGCTGCTTGCATTATCCGGGTTTGAAATCACCATCTTCCTGAACTTCGTCATGTCAGCATTGTATGCACGAGTGTCGTAGACATCAATGTTGTTCCCACCATGGTTATGTGCTGCACTCTGGACTAAGGATTTTCCTCCTTCGCTTAAGTCATCGAGGGATGAGTCTCCTTCCAAAGCACGTACAATCTGACATAGGTTTCGTGACATCATACAACGTTAAAAAAGGAAAAAGAAAATGGAAATTCATGTAATAAAAGACGGCATGTTTGATATCTAAGTTGTAAATCTTACAAAATGTGTAGATAAGAAGTATATTTGACTGGTTAAAATGATAATCTAAGCTCTGCCAAAACGTGCATGAAGTAACACTGCCCATTACGCTTCAATCGCGCAAAACAGTTTACCTGGCTCATCCGCGGGCGCCTTCTGGCAGAATGGCGTATGCTAGCAGCTGCACAGGCTACCATTCGAGCCATCTCCTGGGGAACGAAGTTACCTTCAAGGCGTGGCTCCACGAGCTTATTGTAGTTTCCATCTTCCAAAGCTTGAGCCATAAGTGGCCTAGCCTGCACATTGCCAAAATAAAATTGGATCCAACAGGATTACAAAGAAAAAACAGTTAAGAAAATTTTATTTTTCTTATATCAATTAAAAAATTATTCATCAGAATTGCTAAAAGCAGAATCAAGAACAAACCCAGTCTACTAAGCTGTCTTCCATTGTTCTATTCGTAAGATCCACAGGTCGTTGCCCGGTTATGAGTTCCAAGAGCATCACCCCGAAGGAGAAAACATCAGATTTTTCACTTAGTTTGCCACTTGATGCATACTCGGGAGCTAGGTACCTGAATTTCAATAAATAATTAATTTTCAGACTATAAATGCCCTTTCTTTTTGCTTCTAACACACAAGAAAATCATCTGAGTTCAACTATGTAATTAGAGTGTAGGCTAAGCACGTCATACCCAAAAGTTCCCATGACACGTGTGGAAACGTGAGTAAAGTTATCGGAAGTGAGCTTAGCCAATCCAAAATCTGCCACCTGGATATATAGTAGACAAGATTTGAACTTTGTTTTCTTTCTTAATCATGTAGAATACAAAACATTCCAATAGTACTTTATATATATTACCATGGCTTCATAGTTGTTGTCAAGAAGGATATTTGCAGCCTTGATGTCACGGTGGATGATCCGAGGGTGGCCTGAAATCACATGACATATCAAGAAATATTCGTAACAATTTATGCACTCGTAAAGGAAGATGGGAGGAGGACAGAATTCTTTACAGTCTTCATGCAGATAAGCTAGCCCTTTAGCTGATCCCACGGCTATACGAAGCCTAGTCACCCAGTCCATCACAGGCTGACCATTCCCTACAACGACACATTTCATAAGTAAAACACGACATTATATGAGTATCGTAACTTGACATGTTTATAGAAGGACAAAGAGGAAACACAATAAAATTTCGTGATTTGGTGACGTAATAGCATAGAACTTACCATGAAGGTGGTGTTCCAAGGTTGAATTGGGGACAAATTCATACACCAACATTCTTTGTCCATCAGCAATGCAATATCCAACAAGGGACACGAGGTGACGATGATGGACTCGGCTAATGATTTCAACCTCGGCCTGGAATTCTCGCTCTCCTTGTCCACTGCCCGACTTGAGACTCTTAACCGCAACTTCCCTTCCATTGGGTAAAATGCCTTTGTGTACGTACCCGAATCCACCTTGTCCTAATAAATTGGCTTGAGAAAACCCCCCTGTTGCTGTTGCAAGTTCATCATAAGTGAATTGGCTCTGGGAAAAGCCACCCATGCCCATGTTGGGTGATGGAGATGCCAAAGGTATATGGTGTTGCCCAGAGCTAAATTCACTGCTGGTGTTTCCCGGTGGTGGTGGTGCCCCCCATCCTCCTGCGCCACCTACTGGTGTCCCCATAACACCCTGTGGTGGAGGAAACTTGACAATGTGGTCTGAGTTGCCATTGTAGTATTTGTCACCACCTGAAAGCGAAAAACCGAGGCAATTTCACAAAACAAACACAACAATCAACCCACGAGCCCTTGTTTGGCCGCCATTATAATGAGAATTTGGAAAAAAATATATTTTGGAATAGTAATTTATGGAAGAATGTGTAGTTAAAAAAGAAGAAAAAAGTTTTGGAATTACGTGTAATATTATTTTATTAAAAAATATGCGATTAATAAGAAAAGAGAAAAAAATAGATTATAAAATTAATGGGGCCAAAAATGAATTAAATAAATAAACGTGTCATCTCTTTACATTTTAAACCTTTAGAAGAGTCTGGTTCAATGTGGTACCAGAGCGCATAAGTACAGTTGCAATCCGTTTATGAGAATTGTGCATGTGAATCAAGCCGAGTTGAAATATAAAATGAGAAATTGCACCTTTGCCTGGATGTGCAGGATAGTATGTCCGTTTCTTCTTCTTCTTTGAACATGCTAGGCAAATGGCAAACAAGGCAAAAATCAATACTCCTCCAACGATAATCCCGACGATGATTGGTACACTTGAAGAAGAGGAATCAGATGATGGAGACGGCGACGAACCACCACCACCACCACCAGAGGCTGAGGAATCTGGCGACTTGTGTGACGGCGAGTGATGTGATGGTGGAGATAAGGCATTTGTAGGAGGAGAACCGCGAGGAGCAGGAGTGGTAGGTGATGAAATTGGAGGAGAAGGCGATCCCTTCTGTGGTGGTGATTTGGGTTTTTCAGGCGTTGAAGGGGTTGGTTTTGAGGAAGATTCTTTTGTTGTTGGTGGTGGTGGTGGTGGTGGGGAATCATCAGAAGGGGGAGGAGAAGCGTCTGTTGGCGGTGGAGAAGATGAATCTGGAGCTGGCGATGAATCGGTTGAAGGCGGTGGTGGTGGTAGTGGAGAATCTTTATTAAAAACTCGTGGTGTAGCAGCCTCAGGAGGTAATGCCATTTTTCTATATGGTTATCCGGCGAAGTTTCCGATCAAAACCAGGCCGGAAACTCAAACTTTCTCCCGGAAACTGCTCGCCACGACAAATCACTGCACCTAAGTACATACATATTATTACAAGATTATAAAAAACAACAAATATAACATTACTTCTTAAATCACAAACAATTTCTTTATTTCTGTAAACAGATGATTCGATTAATCCTATAATGAGAGAGAATTAATGTTCCAGATTATACAAAACAAATCTTTCACCAAACACTAAATACATGCATACATAAACATTCAATCCTCTTTCTTCATTCCAAAGCAAAACATCCTTAAACACAAACAACTTATGAATTGATTAATCCTATGATGCATTGTTCAGAGAGAGAAATGTACCTGAATGAAGATTTGTTTGAAGGGTCTGCAAAGTTAAGAGAGAGAGAGAAGACATTGCAATGTAATTTTTCCATCTCACAAAAGATTAGGCCTTCCTCCCACACACTTGGCTCCGACAAAGGAGGGCCTCTATTGTTTTTTCTCTCTCCAAATCTTATGTTTTGGACAATTATTTTAGAGAGGGAGCAGTTTTTGTTTTGTCTTGTGATATTTCTCCACCAATAATTATTTTGGGAAGACAAAACAGCATCTGTTAATTCCACTTTATTTTAGTTAATTCTAGTCTTCAACATTAATTATAGGGTAAACCTATAGTTTGGTCACCCAAATATTTATTATTATTATTTTTGGTATCCAGGTATCCCAACTTACACTAAACTAAATTTTGGACCCCCAAGACCCTTGCTCCTAGAATCTTGGAGGGGATAAATCGCGGGTTATGCCTCAACTGAATCACAGGTTCCCTCCACCGCCTGTACACTTCTGCGCACAAGAGATCCTCCTCCAAAGAATTTCTCCATACCAAATAAATCTGGCCGCAGGTTCCCACAAGGATTCGAACCTCCACCCTGCCGCTGGAAGTAAGACAAATGTTGATTGATCTACCAGTTGAGCTGTGCCCTGGGGGGCGATCACCCAAATATTTTTGTGTAGACTAATGCTATCCATAATCCCTTATTGCGGTAGTTACCCTACATGGCATCCTACATGATGATTTGTGATTTGACGTATTAATGTAATAATTTTTCTTGTCACATATATTAAATTACTAATCACCATATGTGTGCCACATAGAGCGACGAAGATATTAAGTGACTGTAAATAACATTATTCTTTTGAATATCTCATCAAGGTCGCTCAAGGAATTAAATCACTCGACTTCAATTTTACTACACTATGATCACTACTTTGTCTAGACGTTAGCTCCTATTTGGATGTTAATATTTGACACAAACGTAATCGCTAATCGGTTAAAATGCCATATAAGCAAAAAATTTGTCAAACACTTAAAACTTATATTGTGCTACCACTTACACGTTTCAAAAATTGAAACTCTTTGTCAAAGTTCCAATTGACTAGAAATCATTAAAATCAGATTTTGTTTTAATTGAAATAAACAAATTTACTTGCGCTGATTTTCCTTCATTTACACACATTTGTTAAAAGTTTTAAGAATTATGCTGCTCAAATAGGAGCTTTCGTATAGCAGGTTTGAAGTTTTAAGACTAGTAGCTACCTAGCAAATAGAATCGAAGACACCTTCAACCCAAACTCTGCCATCTCAGCTACAATGGGGCCCACTCATTGCTCAGTACAGTTGCAATCGTGTATATTTGGTGGAGCCACAAGGACGCTTTAGAAAAAAGTTGCTGAGGGCATTGACAGAAATTCAATCGATAATAGTCAATGATATTAAAATAATTAAAATCCTTCATATTTCAAACATTTACTTTTTGAGTACAATTCTCAATATTTACTAAGTATTTATTATTATTATTATTATGTATTTCCCGCTGGTATTAAATATTACGTAGAAATTTTTTTTTATTTTTTTTATTATTATTTTTTTACTACCACATGAAATTTTAAGTAACTTTTGATTTGAGTATTCTTTCAGGTCTATTCAAGAAGTCGGATGAATTCCAGATTTTCCTACGAGATTTTGGTAGACACTTTTGTTTACACAGTATTTGATGGGTTAATGATCAACGTATAAGCTCAACAACTAAACCCACGTTTGGTACAAAATTCAGATTGTAATCTAAGTCAAAGTCAACAATTAATTTTAACCATATATTTTATGGGAGTCACAACCTTTAAACCACACATTTCAACAATTTTTATCAAAATCTACTAAAAATCCTCTTATCTTTCTCATATGATATCTAGTCATACACAGAAAAATGTTAAATGCGAATATAGTGCTTGTTTGTGCTCCATTATTTGTGAGTAATGTATTATGAAATAGTGATTGATGTTGAAATGTATGGTTAAAAAATAAGGAATTTTTTTTTATTTACGTGTAATATTATTTTAGTGAAGAATGTGTAGTTGAAAATGAGTGCTTTAAAAAAAATAATGTGATAGAATATGGAAAAATGGTAGACAAACAAAGCTATAGTGGTATGGTCGCATGACTGTCCATTTACATCGCTTATCACGACTATTTAATTTTTAGTACCTTCGTGATTTGTGTATAGTAATGAACCAATCCAAGTGGAGTAATCGACATCAAACTTATTGAGAGAAAAATATCTGTTATCATCGATCCAACTTTGAAGCATATGAAAATTGCTGCTTTAAACTGTACATTGAAACAAAAACCCAGTCTTCCACAACATATAGCAATCGAACACCACTTCAACAACAAAAAATGACATTACAGGAAGGAGCAAAAAAGAAAAAGAAAAGGCAATTTGCACACGATTTCATAAAGGCACCTGCAAGCCATTCAAAGTGGCAGTTCTTCATATATTCATGTTGCAGAAATCAGATCAATATAAGTGCTACTAGAAGCTTTGTCATTTTGGCTGAATACTTTCACTAAACTTCACGTGTAAAATCGAACTATCCTCACAACAAAGTGACAAGACTGTTCACATACGGCATGTAGTTTGCTTGATGATCCAAGATTCCGCTAAAGGGAACCACTTCAAATTTCTGATCCTTCAAATGATAACAATATAATTTGCCCTCAACAAGAATCATCACAAAATCACTGTTAATGCAAGGCAGAACCCGACAATGTTGAGTACTCGACTCTTCAAGATCAAAGAATACTGAATGCTTCAGGTTCATAATTCCATAGATATCGACCGAGTAAAGATTCCCAAACTCATTGTGCACACAAACATAGCATAACTCTCCACGAAACCGAGTCAAGACCCCACCTGGTGCCCTTTCAGAAGGTAGAACCAAAACCTGATAGATTTCATTCTTAAAATCAAAAGCCAGAACCTTATTGGATGATGTTTCCCAGTAAGCAATTCCCTCCATGTAGAATCCTTTGCTTTTAAGAATTGAACCCTCCAACTCCATACAGACTGCAGTTGAGCACTTCCAACTTCTTGTTTCTGAAGAGTAAATTTCGAACTGGACTGTCAGCTCATCGAGCATTGGCAAAGCGCAAATAAGATGATAATCAGCCCCAAAGTTGAACACAGAGGGCTCAAAGGCGAGCACTATTGCTGGTTCCTCTCCATGATAAAAGTCTGGAAAGGGAATCACTTTCCAGTTTTTGTTTGAAGGATTACAAAGAAAGTATTTTTTCTGTCTGAATGCCTCCTGGCAAAGAAGCAAGCCATTGCACGAGCTTCGAATTACAAATTTTTTACGAAGGAAACTAAGAGAAAAATCAGGAACCCCATAGGCAGAATTAGACAGAGATATAAATGAGGCTTTCGTCTCATCTTGGTGCTGGTAAAAGTAACCTGACATGTCCCGGAAATTGTAACTTTGCTTGTGAGACAAAAAGGGACTCATGATCCACTGATCCCATTCTTTGGAAACAGACCTGAATCTCATCAGAGATTTAGCTGGAAGGTATGGTAGGGCATGATCCATCACTATGTCTTTAAGCTCCATGTCTTCCTTAGGTTTGACGTGTGCAGGTAATTGGAAAGCATTAACATTGCTTTTCTGATAAACAGCAGTTGTAAATGGACCCCTTCCAAACTGCATTCACAAAAATTTGGTTTGTTAAAATGAGGGTAAAGGTAATTTTTTGGACCTAAAATATAGGAATTTGCATACATATTTTCAAGCAACACAATTGATGAAGATATGTCATACACAATAGTGAAAATAACAGCAAGGATAAAAAGCACATTGTTAGTGATAAGGGATCAACTACAGGTTATATCAAGAATTTCAATGAAAAACAAAAATGTTAAAACCTCGTATAATATAATTGTATTCTCCATGGTTAAGACAGTTAAGGAATTTCCAAGAAGTAAAAGCCTAAAACACTAGTCAAACTCATCCTTGATTTATACCAAAAACCTGATAGGCTCCCAAATCTAAAAGAGCCCGGAAGAAGTGAGAAGATTATGCATCAACAGAATTCTGTTGCGGCAAGTTGCGGGGAAATTTAGTTAAAGGGATCTATAAATAGAGAGGCAACCTGTAGTGATGGAGGGCAGGAATTGAGTGAGTGAAAGTGAGGCTTAGAAGAGTGTAGCCCTCTCAAATGACTATATGTTATCTTCCTTTTCTATAATTATTTCCAGCATTCAGTAAGAGTTTTGCTTATACATATTCCGTTCTTTGTTTTTCTCCGTTAGAATCTTAACAAATGTTATCAGAGCAGTTGAGATATGGGAAAATGACTCTTATTGAGAAGTCGATTTTCAGTGATGAAAACTCCGACGGGTGGCGCCTTTCGAGGAGGAGATATACTTTCATATGAATCAATTTTCTGATAGGGAGAAATCGGAAGCTGCCGCCATTTGTTTTGAAGGAAAGGCACTGACTTGGGACCAGTGGGAGGAAAGTCAGCAGTCATTGCAAAATTGAAGCGAATTAAAGAAACTACTGCTGAAGAGATTTCGTCCATCGCAAGTAGGAACAGATTGGAAAAGTTCGTGGCGCTGAAGCTGTTACCGACAATCTCAGATACAGTGATGGAGCCGGCAATCTCAGATGCAGTGGTTACTCGTGCACGTGTAGACGGTTTCAGTTGGAAAGTTTTCCATGTACACATGCAGTGGCAGTGGCTATGCATAGAGGATTATCACCACACACCTTATGCAGTGTGTATTACATGACTGATTATTG